CGGGGCTGGGTACTTAAGCTAGGGCAGACCAACTGCTCGCTCTCTTGTTCCTGTTTTCTCATCATGATTCAAAGGTCCTGAGTAAACTGCTGAAAGAAGAATCCTGTGTCGTGTTTCCCTTGCCGGCGAGGGGTCGCGACAGAAAGCCACTGCATCAGTGCACCAAGAGAAGGCAGACTGGACCACGTGGAACAGCTAGTGTGATGAGCAGTCTTCAGGTTTTAGACATGACTTTGAAAGTGGAGCCAAGAGGACTTTTTGAATATGTTAAATCAAGAATTAAAAGATAAACCAAATGCACAGAGACCCTGGGGCTACAATGACTGAAAAATATTGTTATTTCAACAATTCTTTTATTTATGTAATCCCTGAATAGGCTGGAATATTAGTAGAAAGTTCTTTCTTATATGATCTTAATATGGAATGTTGCTGGGGAAAATGATGGAAATCAGTGATTTTATAAAATTATGAAATGAATGCAAAAATTACCAGGTATTTATTTGACCATAATTGTTTCAAGAAATAAGAACAGCGAGTACTCTACCAAGATAAACTATTAAATTTGTAGAAAGCGAACAAATGTCTTAACATTGTAATGTGAATCACTTCCTCAGTGAATCACAACACATTAGCAAAATGTTGAATTCACTGCAAGATTGAATAAATGCATTTGGTTGGTAGAGCTCAAATTATGCTGGTCTTGATGAGACCTCCATATCTCATTTCCAAGTGACCTGATTTTATCGTGCATGGTCATGAGCAGCATCAAATCTATTGCTGGGCATTTCTCTGTCCTTGCAATTTTCCAGCATACTGAGAAAAGCAAGTGGCAGGCAATGGTAGTGAGCCCCTGAGATAAAAGGATAAGATTATTGCCACACCAGGGTTTCAATATCATTGTTACGTGCCTCTGCACTTGGTACAATGATTTGTATGTGTGTATCTGGTGGAACAGTGTGGAGTGATACACTGGCTTCATGACCTGCTCTATGAAGAACAGAATTAAAAGCTGCAATATTATTAACAAAAAATTAAAAATATTGCCTGATAATTGTACCTATCCCCAAGGGTTCTTATGAGAATTCAGTCTGATGAGGAAGGCAAAAATATAATAAGCAAGAGTTCAGTAATTTACTGTTTTTCCACAATGTCTTAAGCATTATATTCTGATGATATTAGAAACAGTTGTTTGATAAAGATATCTCTGGATCCAGAAAAACTAGGTATTGAAAGACAAGCTTGGTAACTAAGTAAAACAATGAACAAATACTTGATGTTCTAGGAGCTATGCTAGAACTATGTTCCTTCATTTTATTTAAAAATCCTACAGAGAATGTATCCCAGATTCTAAATTTATAAATAAGTTCACTGAGACACAGAGAGGTTAAGTAGTATATCACAGTCAGAGAACTTACATATAAGAAAGAAGATTTAACCAGTGTTGGCTGGAAAAACAGAATTTCATCCATGATATAGGCACATTGCTAGACAACCTTAGTGGAAACTTCTGCTGGGAATTAATAGAACCATGAAATTCTTCCTTTAATGAAGGACTGACAACATGCAGTTAACTCTACCACAGCACTAATATTCTCATGGGATGGCTCAAAGCAGCTCACTGTAAGGAAGAAAACTCATTAACCAGAYGCATTTGTCAGACACCACTGGTCCTTAAAAATTCCAACCCAACATAGAAGCTGATACTCCATAAAAGAAAAATTGGAAAAAATAGCTGCTTTGCTTTACTAAAATACTTACACTTTATACAATTATACTCTTGATATATCTGACATCATTTTGTTTGACCTATTCTCAAAGATGGTGAAAGAACCCACATTATAGACATGGAGGTTTCTCAAAAAAGTATTTCCCACCCAGGAGCTACATCCTGATGGATTCCTGGATTGCTTAATGTTACAATGAGGCAAACACCTCATCATGCAAATGGGTTTTCATCTCTTCAGCAGTTGGGATATATCTCTAACATTAATGAATGCTAGACTGATACAGAAAAACTTAGTGTGAGGTACAATACCTGGAGAGATGTCCACCACATCAGGAGGTCAATTAATAGAGTCAACCAAAATGATGAGGAGAGGAATGGGAGTTAGTAAGTGCTCAGAAAAACCTGCTTTGACTACTAGAAATAAGAAACTTCCAAAAATTGGGTTCAAGGAATTGAAATTGAAGGTTTATATGACTAGAGTGATTAGCAAACCATTAACTAGTATTAGTTTGGGAGAATTATCAGGAAAAAAGAGCCATGGAAAACTTACCACATGTGTAGACATTTTGGACAAAGAAAATATTAGTGTTTTTCTTGTTTTGCTGTTGTTTGTATTTTTGTTTTATTATCAGAAAAAAAAGTGATAATAACCATCTCTTTCAGAATTAATTGCTATGGGAAAGATCTTTGTACTCTGAGCAATGCATTTTTTCTGGTGAAATAATCTTTTGATGTTTACATGAAGTGAACCTGCTGGTTGCTTTAATTAGTAAACTTGATAAACCAGTGCTGTTTCTATGCCACACACATTCAAAAAATATTATTAGAAACCTGACTAATTTTCAGTCATTTACAATGTTATCATAAATTACATAGTTCACAGCTTTAAGAATGATAAAAATACATTACCAATACCCTGAGAAACTAATGATCAAATTTGAAGACAGAAATTCTTAATCCTGGATACACTTAATATTTGCCTGTGGAATTGTGGAACTGTATGAATACCTATATCATTCCTTCAACAATTTAATACTGATTCTCTGGAGTTGGRACAAGGAAATTTTAATATCTGAATATATAACCAGGTTTGAGAACCTTAGTGTAGACAACATAGCCAGGCCCCCATGTTCTTACTACTGAAAACTCAGGGCTTAATTTCTTATACTTATAAATATATTCACTCCAAAGTTGCAAAATAAGTGTTTGGGCAAATTAGTATTATTTTTTGATTAATTATTTCTTTTATTAATATTTACTTTATAAAAAGGAAAAGTTCCAGCTGGGCATGGTGGTTCGCATCTGTAATTCCAGGGCCTTAGGAGGCTGAGGCAAAATGATCCAAAGTTGAAGGCTAGCCCGGGCAAATTATCAAGACCCTGTCTCAAAATAAAAAATAAAAATGTAGAGTGACATTGTGATCAATCCCCAGAAACACATGAAAAAGAAGAAGAACCATCACCAACAATAACGCAAGGAAAAGTCCAAGTTCAAAACCATCACTCATGAGAAAGGACAGCAAGGTGTTGATCTGAATTTATACCTTGCTCAACAAAAGCAAATCTCATGTGGTAATAGCAAAAGGCAAAAGAAGACACTCATCCTCTTGAAGATGACTCTTGAAGAGACTGAGTCAATTGTCACTGCTAGAGGAAAAGGAAATAAACATTGTCCTCTAACGTAAGAACAGAATCTTTCAGTATTACTTTGATTGCAAATGTCAGGTGCCATAATTTGATAAATGTAGTATTAATAATAGCATAAATGTACTAGGCAACAGCAAAAATTGTTAACATTTTTATGGGATTGTTGTTCATAAAGGTGTTGTTTTATGTCTTATTATTTGAATTTCAAAATGTACAACAAATTCCTTAATAATTTTTAACTTTAGAATATTATATTCACCAATGGAATGTTAAAAGACAAAATCTGTTTAAGGTTTGAAAACAGATTTGGAGAGAGGAAAACGAGGAGTGAAATATGGAATATTAACTCACCCAAGCAAAAATCGCTGAGGTCAGCAAAGGAGCATTTGAGCACGGAGTCTTTTTCATTCTCTTTGGGGTTAACTGAAAGAAAGAAGACACATATTAGTTTTGGAAAATAAAAGTAATAGTGACTGAAAAATTATTATTATATTTGATGGACAAATGATGGCCAAAATGAAGAAATTTTTTATGTTAATGTTTGAATTATTTAAAATAAATTTTGATAAGTGAAAGAAATATTTATGCTACATTTAATAATAAATAAATTTAATAATTTATCCTCTTGAACAATTCATTATTGAATAAGGCTGTAAGTTGGCTTTTTATAATATATAGTGGCTTTGCAATATTATTAAGAGATATGTTTTGGTATTTTCAAATTATTCAGGGGAAGTAGCAACTCAAAGGAATCACATGAATAAATAAATGTATGAAAAAGCTAGAGATGAATGAGAAAAACAAACTCATCTTTGAAAAATGGGGAGCATGATTTTATTTTGACACTTGATTTTGCAAATGGTCTAAAATCATAACAGTGTGTCTCTGACAAGCCTATGTGTGTAGAAGATGGCCTAAACTCAGCCAGTTTCTTTAATGTGGCATCTAGCTAGAATGTGCCTAAAATTTAGATCTTGCCTGTCAACATTTTGTTGCAAACACTAGTTCATGTTCATGCAGCCAAATCTTCACTGTTTTATAATCAAGATTAAAATCTTTGGTTTCTCTTTTTGGGAAATGGAATTCTTTATTGATGACATTTTATTTGAACACTGCTTATAAATTCTAACAAGGAATGATTTTATTGACAATAGGCAATGTAAACAATGGCCCTTTGAGATAGTGATTCACGAATGCACTTGGTCTGTCTTCCGCTACAAACAGCAAGTATGTCCAGATTATTATGGGACTGGCCACCTGCAAAGCAAGGAAGGAATAAAAACATTTGGCCAACACTGGGCCTTTCAACTGATTGGCAGAAGGAGGGTCTGCTCTCTGTTCTATTCTAGTCTCCTCTCTGAAAAGCTCTATTAAAACCAGTCAAATGGAAAAAAAAAAAGAAAGGATGCACTTACTTTTCATAAATTGAACAAGAAAACAATAATTGCTGCTCACCTTGCTCTGCTTTGTCAGCAGAGATTAAAGTTACAGAGGTTGGAGCCTGAGATTCACTCTCGGTTGACTGGAAGAGCGAGGTGGACTGGCTCAAGCTCTTTGAATGAGCATAGCTGTGGGCAAGGCAAGGCAGGGATCTCCTAGATGGTTTCAATGAAGTTTCTTTTGTTATCTCACTTTTGCTTACATTCATACCTGCAAATTCAAAAAGATGAGCTTTATAAATGATCTACTTAGGAGAGGTCAATAAATAATTTTCATATACCATGTAGCATTTAGAACTCAGATTTGTTTCTGTCTTGTTAAGGAAAAACGTTGAGATTTTTGTCAAATACAATTTTTGTCAAATAAATGATTTCTGAGAAATAATAGTTTCTCTTTCAGTTTGAGATTTCAATATTTTTAAAAAATTTTTTGAAAAAAGAAAATGGAAATCCAGGGAGTTATAACAACGATAATTTGTATTGTCTTTGCATAAACCTAACCATTTAGATTTTCGAGTAGTGAAATAAATAAAACCTAACACATTCAAATTACTATTGCTAAGGAGAGCCCTTCTTTCTCTACCACTTAACTACAAACATAATGCATTAATAGTGATTGTTACAATTTSGATCTGGAATGCTCCCCAAAGGCTCATGTGTTGAAGGCATGGTACCCAGTGCAGAGATGTTCAGAGCTGGGCTCTGGGGAAGTGACTGGATTATAAGGGCTCTGACTTTATTAGTGGAATTAATCCATCAATGTATTCACAATTTGATGGTATTATTGGGAGGATGAAAGAAAGTGTAAGAAGTGGGGCCTACTTGGAGAAAGCAGATCACCGTGAGTGTTTTAGTTAACTTTTTCACTGCTGTGACCAAAGGACCTAACCAAACTGATTGTAAAGGAGGAAAGGTCTATTTAGGGGCTCGTGGTTTAAGAGGTCTCAGTCCATAAACAGCAGGCTCCATTCCCTGGGACTTGAGCTGAGAGGTAGAACATCATGGCAGAAGAGTGTGGTAGAGGGATCCAGCTCACAGGATGATCAGGAMGCAGAGAGACTCCACACCCCAGATACAAAATATATAAGCCCCATAACCACACCCCCAATGAACCACTCTTCCTCCAGCCATACCTCATCTGCCTCCAGTCACCACCCAGTTAATCCCATCAGAGATTAATTCACCGATTAAGTTAAAGCTATAACCCAATCATTGCTCCTCCAAACCTTCTTGCATTGTCTTCCATGAGAGCTTTTGGGAGACACTTCACATCTAAAACAAAACAGTGAACATGCTCTGGAATATAGATTCTCCTTTCTCTCTCTCTCTCTCCTTCCAGGGTGCCATGGCTGGGATCAGCTCTCCTCTTCAATGCCCTTTTGCAGTGATATTTCTGCCTTGTCTCCGACCCAAAGCAATAGGGCCAGCTGATTATGGACAGAAATCTCTGAAAACTGTGAGTGAAAATAAATCCTTCTTCCTTTGAGTTGTTTATTTCAAGTATGTTTGTCACAGTGATCTTATGCTACTGCATAAAGGTAGCAATGGTTTGCCACAAAAGCTTCTGTAAGAGTCTCTTTCCTCCATTAGCAGCAGCCCCTATCACTGCTACACTCCTCTAGCAAAGAATGCCCCCTTTCCTTTCTCCATCTATCTTCATTCACATTATGTCAATCCCAAATCAATCCTCATCCCCAGAATTAATCTCCAAATATTTTTGGAGTCTGTCATTTCTKACAGTGTCTTCCACTAAGACTGCTTCAATAGGTCCTTGGGAATTTACATCCAATGTCAGAAAAACCCACTTAGTATCCTCCTCAGCTTTTTCTATGGAAAATTCATTTTCTTACCCATACCTAGCACTGCCCCTGACCCCCCATCTACAACACTGCTTCCCTTGTAGGCCCTTTCCMTCCTACAACCTYMTAATYCAGGCTATCCTGCTTCAGGTGGAGTAGGTATCCTCCTAATGACTAACTGCCRTTTTCAGTCCATTCTTTTTAATCCGTATTCTCTAAAAAAAAAAAAAAAAAAAAAAAACCACACACACACACACACACAATAACAAAAAAAAACCCTTATCTCTCAAATTCTTATTTAATTAGGCTATTCATTAACTCTTCCTTGCTACTGTCCCTTTCAAGTTATTTCACATTAACTGTAATAAATTTGGCTTCTAAGACACATCTCTCCTCTATATTATCTTCTGCTTAACATCCACACCATATGTTTCTTGTGTAGCTTTTAAAGTTCCATATACCTCCTGGAATGCACGTTCAATGAAGATATTGATTTTTGTTGTGTTTATATGCAGTGTCTAAAGCCATGCTTGGCTCCTGAGAGGCATCAACAAATACTTGTTGGCCAAATGGACATCTGAACAGTTGGCTGACTATGCCTATAATCCGAGTACTTAATTAAGTAGCTTATCTCTTCTTTGTGTCCACTGCCACTGCCAGTGTCTAGAATGTTGGGTTGTGACTCAGCTGGCTCAATAATCTTATTTTCTCTATAAGTTCTTAAAAACAGAGATTTAYAACCAAATTTGCAAAACAAAGGAACTGGATCAAGCTGGTGAACTCCATAGAATTCACAGCTATAAAATGTTTTTCAGAAAAATGGTGCTCACATTCCTCCTTTCACTCTGCCTGCACAGATACAACTTTTCCAAAGCTATATTCTGAATTTTCCAAAGTTTGATCCTGAATCACTCCCTAAATAGTTTCAGACTGACATCTGAGTTAAGCAGKTGATACATGTGGTGTCTGCATTATGTAAACAAAACCATGAAATCAACTTACCTCAGTGCTTGGTCTGAATCTCAGACCACATAAAGCAAAGGGTCTTAAAATTGTGACTATCAATTACATGTTAGGCTCTGTGGTTGGTGCATTTATTTACTCATTGTGGGGTATATTTCTTTATTCTACATAAGCAAATTATAAACAAATATTCTCATTTAAAAGGCTTGAAATTACAGAGGTAAATAGAATAAAAAGCCAAAATCATTTTCCCTCTGATTCCCAAACTGTCTCCAAACTAAACAAAGCAAATGTTATCACTTACTGATATTTTTTCTGTGTATATGTATATATATATATATATATATATATATATATATATATGCATAAGCATGTACAGAAATAGTTTTCTTACAATAATGAAAGTGCATAGTGTGTTGCATTACACATTTGTCCATTTATGATGTCTTGGATATATTTTTTTTTTCATTTCAGCCCACACACATCTATCTCAGACTTTATTTTATTTATTTATTTTTGGCACTGGGTATTGCACCCAGGGGTACTCTACCATTGAGATGCATCCCCAGCCTTTTTTATTTTTAATTTTGAGACAYAGTCTCATTAAGTTGTCCAGGCTGGCCTCAAACTAAKGATCCTCYTGCCTTAGCCTCCTGAGTAACTGGGATTACAGGYGTGCACCACCATTCCATGCTTACCTCAGACTTTTAAATCTACCTTAAAGTATTCTACAGTATGAATAAACTATAGTTCATTCAATCATTCTCCCATCATTGGACACTTAGGTAATTTTCAATAATTTACTTCAGAAAGAATATTCCTACCAGTATTCTTATACATATGCCTTGTCCTTACACATTATTTATCTAAGAGGAAAGACTTAGATATAGAACTTCTAGGTTGAAAGTCATGAATATTTATCATTTGGATAGAAAGTGCCAAATGGTCCTCCCTAAAAGCTTTATCTTTTATACTTCCATGAACTGCCCAAGGGCTAGTATGTAGCTCAGTGGGAAAATGGTTTATCTCATATTAGTAAAGTCCTGGGTTTAATCCCATGTTTCAAAAAAGAAAAGATTAAAAACAAACTCCTCCAAAAACAAAACAAAAAAAATTCAAAACTGTCCAAGACAGGATCCAATTGCTTAAGCCTTGACCCAAACTATATACTATCGATAGTTTTGATTTTGGACAAAATAAAAAGCCCACAAACAAAACCAAAAGCCTTCATGGTTTTAATTTTCATTTTATAAATTGAGCATGACTTCATCTGTTTTCTAGCCATTTATTATGCTTAAGTGACTAAGCTATTCTGTATGTGTTAGACTTTTTTCTTATTGATTTATAGTCACTGATAGAATTCTATTTARTATACATTATGTGTAATATTTTTTGTTTCATTTTATAACATTCTTATTAGGCAGACATTGTGATTTCTACTTACTATGGGGAAACCAAAACTAGAGATGAAAAATAACATGCCATAGATCACACTAATATGTGAGAAGAAAAGGGGTTTATATTCCAAGCATTTCCTAACACTAAAGTTACCCCATCATAATACATGTGTAAGTTAGTTTGAAAATCCCTAAAACAACATCTATTCACCTCAAAAGTCACAGATATTGAAACGTATCACTCAAAAATTCTATATGGATAGAGGTTAAACACAGAAAGAASAACATAGATGCACATTGTCAGCCTCTACTATCCTATGAATCCACCTTCCTGATATCTGATTCTCTATAATAAAATAAATTTCAATTATAGTAGCTAAATGGTGACGCGGATAACGCAAATTCCAAAGTATATAGAGAATTCATGTAATAAATGTTTGCCTTATAGTTATTTATCTTAATTTCACTTTTGAAACGGAGTAGAATTAGGGTCATCATAGTAGGTAAAAAAWTGAGGAGAGATATATTTTTCATAATTATTTTTATCATAACAAAAATAGCTACATTTCACTCACATGGGTCAGGTCATTAATTTGTAAAAATCTTATTTTGTAGTCATTTMATGAATAAGCCCCAAGTGTCCAAGRATCTYTCCAAACACRTGAATTCAAATAAAATCAAGCAAAGAAACCAAGATACATGGCTCTTTAAGGCCAATAGAAATTTTGAARTAGAGTAAAATAGACAGTCCTTGAAATGGGTTCTACCAAAATAAGATATGGTTGAACAGATGAAATTCAGATAAATCTAGGAGTGATTATTTTTATCTTTTCCTTTATAGAAACATGTTTTTATTATTTTTACAGTAATTCTCAATGAGCAAATGTAACCTACAAGAGGATGCAAGAAAGAAATGTGAATTGACTAGAAGAATAGCAACWGGTCCCTTAGCTCTCTGGAACCCTGTAATGATAAGGACAGAACATTTTGTAGAGGAATTCTCCAAGGTATGCTGAGTTTCCATCAAAATACTAMATAATTAACTTTAGTTG